CGTCTGACTCTTGATCCCAGCTCAGGTCTTGATCTCAGGGTTGTGAGTTCAAGCCCCATGTTGGGTTCCACGTTGGGTGTGGAGCCTACTTAAAAAACCAAAACCCAAAAAACTACAAAAAATAAAAGCTGTGTGCACTGCTAGCGTTGAGGACTACTGCCCTATGCAATATTCACTTAACGTTTATACATTCGCACATGCTCCTGAATTTACTTACAAAGAACAAAGAATTTTGACTCTTTCGACTTAAAGTAGTCAATGACAAATACAGGTCACTGAATATAAAATATTAATTTCTAACTAGATTTAATTTCTCCGCTTAATGTTTGGACTCAGATATCTCAGAAGGCATAAGGAATCAATCAATAAACACACATCTAAGAATGGATATCCACTGACCTGGGCGTAAGAAGTCAAATCACTTTAGACATTGTAATTAATAAGTCATACTAAACATGTACTGAAAGTTAAAATCAGTTTTGGTATTGATTATTTGTAGAGGATGATTCCAATTTGATCTCCCCTATACTGTAATGTTTTCAAGACATTCTCCATTCTTTAGCTTCTCATATTTTCCAAGATCAGGAGTGAAATCAAATCACTAGTTTACCAGGTTACAGGAACAGAGCATCAGAGAAGTATTTTGAGAGTCCTTAGGAATACATTTTAAGGTTCAAAGTTAGACTGCAAACTCTTATAGGAATAAGGAGAGAAGTAAACCTGTGATGACAATCTGATTTGCTTAGTCAGTAAATAGTCTCAAGTCATCTCCATGTTACCTACATTTATGTCACCAGCTACTAGTAAAGGTTATAGTGTCACCCACTTATTAAGGTGTTACTTAGAGGTATTTCCTCTCCTATGTGTAAGGAAGGTGACCAAGTATGGGCAAGGGCAAAAAGAACTCCCATTTACTATTATGTGTCAACAAATATTTCATTAAAGCCTCATAACCAACCTGCAAATAGGGATTAACATCCCTATTTTGTATAGGATCCCTAATATCCCTATAAGGAAACAGATTGAGAGGCTAAGTGTACTGCCTAAGGCACACAACTGGTCAGTGGAGAAGCTAGATTTCAACCCATATTCTTCTGGTGCCAAACAGACACCCATGCAAGACAAGCAACTTTGATCAGAAGAGCTGATAAAAGTCTATATAGCAGAAAGAATGACACATAATGCTATCAAATATTAGAACAAAGGAAAAGAGCATTCACTTACCCAGTATATCTTTGTGAGTGTAAAAGCGTGTCTTAAATGGCTTGTATTCATGGATCCGTTTGAAGGTTTTCCCAAAAGGGGCTGGTGGAATTATTTTATTACAAACAGCACAGCAAACAAAGCTTGTGTAATTCGGATTTCTGATCATAATTAAATTTTAGATGTCTTTTACTATGTGCGGTTAAATTACTCTTATGATAAAAAAAAGTTTGAAGAAAAAGCTAGAAGTTTAAGAAAGCTGGAAGAGGTTCAAGGCTTTAGGACAATGTTAGAGGCTGGTAAGAATAAAATGATTCGCCATCATTAGGTAGTGGTTATGTGCCTAATGGCAAAGAATGGTACTGAAAGGCTTTGCCATATAAAGTATGGGCCCTGGATTTGGGAAGATTTAAGCAGTGGCTCTCCTCCAGACTCTAGCATTAAATTGTTAACTTACTTGGCAACTGTTGCTAGGTAAGACAAGCTTTGCTCATAAAAGCAACTGGAAATAATGACCAAAGGAGCATGTTATAGCCATTCATTTCCCAGATACCCTCTGTACGAGTTTCCTTTTGCTGCTATAACAAATTACCACACATTTAGTGACTTAAAACAACACAAATTTATTCTCTTGCAATTCTGGAGGTCAGAAATCCAAAATGAGTCTTATGAGGCTAAAATCAAGGTGTTAACAGGGTGGTTCCTTCTGGAGGATTTAGGGGAGAGTCTTTTCTTGCCTTTTTCATCTTCCAGAGGCCACCAAACTCCCTGGCTCATAGTCTCACATCACGTAGCCTTTTCTACCCCTGTGTGCATGGTGACATTGCTTCTTCCTCTGATCTTCAGCCTCCTTCTTACAAGTATCTCTGTGACTGTATCAGGCCCGTATGGATAATAAAGGATAACTTGCTCATCTCAAAATCCCTAACTTGATCATATCTGCAAACTCCCTTCTGCCATATAAGGTAACATTCACAGGTTCTAGGAATTAGAATCTGAACATCTTTGGGGGTGGGGTGGGGCAGGGGAATCATTACTGAGCCAACCACACTTTTTCTCTGTTTTCTTTTCTTTTCTCCCCTTTCTTCCATCCTTCCCTCCTTTCCACACTTTCTTTTAAATGGTTTATTTAAAGAATTGATTTCTTTTAGGCCAGAAAAGGAGAGAACTTAATTTTTTTCAGGTTACCTATAAATGTGATGTTTCAGTGTCATGGCAATAAAACTAGAAAACATCACAGTATCTTAAAGGAAAAATTACTTTCCTTTAGTCAGAACTCAAAATTAATAAGCCTGGTTTTTAAAATCACATAGTTAAGTAATGTATTGTCCTTGTTTTAAAATGGAAAGTCCTGCATCCCATGAACCACCTCCATGCCTGAAAAACTAGGAAAGATTGGTCACCCTAGGGAGGATAAGGCTACAAACCAATAAATAACTTCACTGTTTATTCATGAAATTCTTTTTTTTTTTTAAAGATTTTATTTATTTATTTGACAGAGACAGTGAGAGAGGGAACACAAGCAGAGGAAGTGTGAGAGGGAGAAGCAGGCTTCCTGCGGAGCAGGGAGCCCGATGCAGGGCTTGATCCCAGGACCCTGGGATCATGACCTGAGCCAAAGGCAGACGCTTAATGACTGAGCCACCCAGGCGCCCCTATTCATGAAATTCTTGAAAACCAATTAATCAATTGAACAGCTTGCTCCTCCGGGAAAATAGCTCCTCTATCAGAACAGATTACTTCCCTGGGCAAAAAGGTCACTTACCGCTTATTAATAGTTTACTTATTGAGACTTGCTTCAAGATCTAACCTATTATGTTACTGAGTTTGCCCAATCTCAACCAGATTCCCACACTGAAAGACCTTCCTTTAACCACTTGAACCCTGACTCCAAAATGCTGTACATCTCATGCCCAGACCATTCCTTTCTTAGACACTTTGTCAAAGTGGGGTTTTCCCTTAGAGAATGAATGAGAACATCAATACACAGCCAGGCAGCCTTTGACACTCCGCGTACACAAAGCCTGTGCTGTAACTTGTAACCACCCTGTAAAAAGTATCATAGTTAGGTTATTTGTTCCTAAAATTCAATGTGATTGTTCCCTCCCATTATTTTTCCCAGCTGTGCACCTTGCTGAATCTACTGCATAAGTGGCAACAAATATTTCATTATAGCCTCATAACCAACCTGCAAGATAGGGATTATCTATGAGAGAATAACCCAATGCAATTAGAGTTTTTCTTTGGGAAAAAAAAATTGTATTATACTGAGATATGATGTTTTTATTTGATTACAACCAAATGTTATCTATTTAAGTTTTTGTACATTAATGTTACAATGATATTATAAACATAAAAACAAATTTTCTTATGGTTATTTCCCAATAACCAAAAGCAACGACACAATCCTATTTAATATAGGATCCCTAACATCCTTATAAGGAAACAGACTGAGAGACTAAATGTACTGTCTAAGGCACACAACTGGTCTGTGCAGAAGCTAGATTTTAACACATATTCTTCTCATGCCAAACAGACACCCCTGAAAGACAAGCAACTTTGATTAGAAGAGCTGATAAAAGTCTATATAGCAGAAATGACACATGTGAATATGTATGTATTCACATACATAGACGTCACATGGCTTAAGGCTGCTCTGTGCATTTCCCACTGCCCTTCTGTGCTGTGATGGTCTCTTGATAGTTCACCTAACTACTATCTCCTCCCCCCCAATATCAACTTATTTTGTTGAATAATAGAGGAATTCTAAAAGATGACAGTGTGACATTAAATACGTAAATTAAAAATAGAAGAATTCTAGCTTAACAGCCAAAGTACACAGGGAAACCAAAAGCAAAAGATAATACTTTAAATTAAAAGGCATTTTGTACCACCTAAGTGCATTCTAAACTGATGAAGTGTACTATATAGAGAGATGTAACAAAGGAATATTTAGGGCTCAGGAATAAAGATTTGATTTAGTTGCCTATAGATAACTCAATGAATTTAGCTCTTTAATATCTACAAACAAGACACAATTGCATTTTCACATATCTTACACAACCACAATGAAGTACTAGAAATTAAAAGCTCATAATATGATGATAAACCCTGCCAATGTAGTTGTTACTTGGTAATAATAAATGAAACAAAATTTCATAGGTAAGATTTATTTCTGAGCCCCAATTTCAGGGATTTGGAAAACGGTAAAAATCTACAAAAATGAAACATGTCCAAAATCCTTGTCAGAAAAATCTAAATTATATAAGGTAAACCCAGGAAACTAAGAAGACCTTCTTTTCCTATCTGTTCAATAGTTCTAGTTTTAAAATAACCATAAGAAAATTTGGTTTTATGTTTATAATATCATTGTAACATTAATTTACAAAAACTAAAATAGATAACATTTGGTTGGAATCAAATAAAAACATACCTAGGTATAATATACTTTCTTTTTCAAAGAAAAACTCCAATTGCATTGGATTATTCTCTCATTTACTCATGTTAGTAGTTGAGTGGGACTGCCTTATCAAAGGAAATAAAATTCTGGACCAAAAATAGCTGAAATGGAATGCCAAAATATATGAGTCATCTGTGACTCTGTAAAAATTATCTGTCTTGAATGTTGACTGCAGGCTTTATAATAATTTATAATTTTTCTTTCTTTTTTTCATAAATACAGGTTCTGTGCCAGAAAGAAAATGAACATTGCCTTTACAAATAGCAAAACAAAACAAAACCCTCACAACAGTTGCAAATGCACAATTCACCTTAAAATATTAAAAATACCCTGCAAATTTGATAGCACTGGGTACTTTTATTATATAGAACATAATAATTAACAAAACGATTTCCATTTTCCTGACACTTTGATATGAGGACTTAATAAAAGAACAACATTAAGAAGCTCCCGCTGTGGAGAAAGAATGAGGTAAGGACTGCAGCCTCAAGGCCTGGCTGCAACTGCTACCTTCTCTCCTCATCAACACGTTCCAGAACAAGAAGCTGATACTATGCACTCACAAAGTCTTTCCTTCAAAGATTTCAGAGCCCTTTATGAAGCTCCATCTGTGGTATCCAGCACTATTAATCCCATTTAGATGTTCTCCTCCTCATGTAACTGTGTCCCTCACCATCAACAGCTTCGTACAGGTCCTTTGTATTCTCTTGTGTTGCATGTAGATAACCAATATACGCCACGCAAAGTGAAAGGGTTATCAATCCGAAAGCCATTAAAGGTTTGTTCTGCCAAAGAAAAAAAATGATAAATCTTCATTAAGATTAATAATTTGAGAAGACCCAAATATCTGTTGCACTTTCCTCTTGACATACCAAGTCTTTATTACCACACTAGCATTCCTATGGTAATATTTTCCATTATAACAATTTATCCAGTTCCTTATTCAATTAATTCAGCTCCTGATAATTCAGAGATTAGAAAAGATTCTTGCTTCTCCTCTCCAGTCTTTCTCCTGTGTACAGCCTGGATCTCAGGCCTCCACCTTCAGGATGGTGGTGGTTGGAAGAGGGGCGAGGGAAATGAGGCACAAAAATGCGTCTGGTGCTCAGAGTTTTTCACTGTTATCTGGGTGACATGGAGAAGTTGCTTAACTTGCCTGAACCCAAGTTTCCCCACTGGCAAACCTTCAATTAGTTAATCTTATTAGGAAGTGAGGAATGAAGTATATATGCTATTCTTCTTGCCTGACTTCATGGATAACTAGCAAAAAGCCTTTCATTTTCACGTCATATATTAAGTGTAGCAAAAATGATAATGTATACAGTCTTCTCTGGGAACCTACTCTATAACCTCAAGAAATTTAGTGATTGACGCAGATATTACGCTGTTATAATAACCTTGATTAACTGCTGAAAAATCCAAGACCCTAAGAAAGTGATATAACTTTGAAATTGGAAAAAAAATAGGAAAAGATGTTCACAACTCCACAGAAATGTTTTGTCCTGTCTATAGTATAACTCCGATCTTCCTTTTTGTGTCTTCACATTCAACAAATTAACCTTTCTTAAGGTCAGTGTGAGTGCACAGTAGTGATACAAGTTTCAGTTAGTATTTTCTGCTTCTGTCACATCTGTTGTATTACTATTTCAAATCTTAATCATCAAAAGAATAAAGGTCAAATTTTTTCACTTGGATGGACACATAAGAAGGGCCACAAGCTCAAAGGGGTTTAAACCTACAAATTTTGAAATGCACTTGGCAATTAAAACAACACATTTGTTCAAAGGTTTTTAAAACATTCTACCTTGACTTTATGATTTTACTGTTAAGTTGACCTATTTAACTTTAAAACAGTTTATACTGGCAACTATGTTATTAATATTCTAACCAAATTCAATATATTTAAATATATAATATTTGATTTCACTGACATTTAAGTTTATATTTATTTAAAAATAAAATTGGTCAAATGTATTCAATAATCTGCAACAAGAATATAAATAATTAGCTAACTCCCTTACAATGTATGTTTTAAACTTTTCATAATATTTACAATATCCTTTAAGTAAGAATATTATGATAAAAGCTGGAAGTGTAGTCTATAAGAATGATCAGGTTTTCACTTTGTTTTGTTTCAATGGAAGATCTTATTTACTTAATAGTACCTGATCAAACAACAAATATTTCCTTCAAATTAGTGCAACCATTAAAATAAAATTTTAAATAGGAACTAGACAAGTTGATCTATTAAAGTGCAACTATATTCTGTTAAAGTTCTCAAATACCCTCAAAATAATTAGTTTTATGTGTATATTTACGGAAATAGCATTTAAAATTTTCCTTCCACCTGCTTTTACTCAGAGAGATCTTATTATAATGTCAACATAAAATTTTCATGATACAATCAAATGTTACAGGAAAATAAAAACTTTCTATTTCTGATAGCCTAGTTAAACTGAACATAATGTCTTATCCTGGATATATTTCTTACAGGTTTAATGAAGAGCTCTGGATTCACAGCTCGAAATAAAGTTGTTGTGCGGACCCCTCTGAGCCCTGGGTTTTGAAAGTCTTTCTCTTTGGGTGGTTCGTTTTTAAAGGCAGGAGATTCCGGTGCTGAAGACATCTTCTTGATTAATGATGATTTATAACCTAAAAATAAGATGAGAGACTTTTTTTTCCTTCATGACCATGTTTTTTTTTTTAAATGTTCTTTAAAAAAATCATTCTGTACTCATTCATTTTTTTGAACTCCAGTCCAAATATATACCAAAGTGATTGCCAATTATATTATTACTTTGTATAACATGTACTTTGTAAAAGGTGCTTTAAATTTTGTTTGGTAAAATAGTTATTTTATTTCTCATCTCTTAGAACAAACCAGTGAAGTGGGCAAAAGTTGTTTTCCTACTTTCACAGAAGCCTGGACAATTGTTCCTTGGTCTGAGTCACATTGTATCTTGTTATGTGAAAGGCGTAGCAGGGGTAGGAGGGGCCGGGGGTAATCCATATCCTTCTTTATTTCTTCCTTTGATTCTTCCTCACCTTCCAACAGCCGAAAAAGCCGCTAGCATTCCTCAATTTCTCCCACAGCTTCCCCCCCGCCACACCGGCCCATGCTCCTCAGCGTCCGTTGGCCTACCCAAGCATGAGCACCAAACAGTAACGGCAAGTAGTTATTTTCACTCCTCATTTGCATGTCAGGGACTTTCTGGGAAGGACTGCTCTGCTATCTTCTCAATCTGAATATCCTTTTTTCCTCTTCATTACTCTATGCTATCAAATCCAAATGTGTCTTTTGGCTTCTGGTTCTCCCAGCTGGAGTGTCAACATTTTGTGAATATTCTCTTCTAGGTATTATTAGGCAAATCTTATTATCATTCCTGCCACCTAATGCTGGGGAGGGGTGGGAGAGGGTTGGAAGGAAAGAGGTAGGCAAAGAGACCTTCCAAAAGCTGGAATGACAGTACTATAAAATTCTCTGGGGAAATGCTGTAACCCTACCATACAGTAAATGTTATGAAACAAGAGTCAAATATCCATATTTAAACACTCATTGTGGCTTTGTTCATACAAGGACTCTTTAAGTCTTCCATTTTACAGACTTTATAAAAGTAACATTTCTATACCTTAATTATGGAGAAAATTAGTTCATTTTTTTAAAACTATTTTTTCTTTTTTTTAAAGAAGATTTTATTTATTTGAGAGAAAGAGAGAGAGCATGAGCGGGAGGGGAGGGGCAGAAGGGAGAGGGAGAAGCAGACTCACTGCTGAGCAAGGAGCCTGATGTGGGGGCTCCATCCCAGGACCTGAGATCACGACCTGAGCTGAAGAAGGCAGACACTTAACTGACTCAGTCACCCACATGCCCCAGGAGTTGTTTTTTCAAAACTGTTTTTGTTGAAGTGGTTACTATGTGGATGGCTCTACAGATCACCAGATCTCAGCAATCATTCCAATAGCTAGCTTCATTCTACGTTCTCAGTCTTCTCTTCACTATCTAAATTTAGAAAGAGTTGTTTCAGCAGTGTGCTTACACTGTGAAAATTATAGCCCCATCTGATGGCTTTAGAATGGCTCACGCAGTTCAATGGGAAAAACTCATGCATGATCCAAGCACAGGAGTGTGTTATTGGCAGAGCGACTGTCTACCAGCAGGAGGATATGGCATTTTGCTCCTTCCATTCTCTTGCCAACACTTCCCAGCCATTCATTAAACAAACCTCTCATCCTTCAGGTATGTGTACTGGCTTTGTAATCACAGGGGAACAAACGAGCATTTCTGAAGCACTGAGGGTAAACTAACTTGCCAATGACAAGTAGTCTCACCCTTTCTGTCCCAGATGCATTACAGCAGAATACAGCAATCATCAATCTTTATTTCTTTTGTAAAGTCCACGTTGGCCATGAAGTATATGAGATAGCAACTCATAAAACACAATTCCATCAGCATTTCAAACATCATTCAAACAGTAACTAGCATTTTTAGTATATGTGCTGCCGAAGCGAGCACCAAACAGTAACTAGCAATTGTTTTTTTTTTTTTTTTTTTTTTTTTTCATTTCTCCTATATGCAAGTTACTCATTTTCTCCACTGGAACACTGGTTTGGTTTTGTTTTTCCACTACAGACAACTTAGGAAACCATTCCATAACATGCCTGAAATTTGTTCAGCCAGAATACACTTGCTTGAAACTCATCATGTCCAAGGCTGGCAAAAAATCCACTGCTTTCTGCTGACCAAGAGGTCCACCTATGTGCCTGAGTCCTGCACTAACTTTAAAAAAAAATTTTATGTTTATTTATTTTATAAGTAATCTCTACACCCAACATGGGGCTCAAACTTACAACCCCGAGATCAAGAGTTGCCCGCCCTTCTGCCTGAGCGAGCCAGGTACCCCGTCCTAAACTAACTTCTTGATACCACACAAAAACAGCTATAATAGGGACCTGGCATTTGCTTCTGCTTTAGGGCCCAGAATCCCTTTAACTTCCTCTTCATTTATGGCCTAATCTTTCAATAATGTCAACAATATAGGAGGAGGGATGGTAAATTCCTTTGCTACTCCTCCTTTCTTGTGGCAACAACCTACTCCTATTGCTTTCATTTCCTTCTATGAAAACTTGCTGGCATTTCATCTTTGCCTCTCAGCCATGAGAGCAGGGTAGATGGCATGTACTAATGCATTTAGAATTTAAGTGACAAATGTTGGTCACCAGATGTCTAAGCTAAGTGCCAATGACGTTTCTACTTAAGTTAATAACATGACTGACTGTAACACGGGGAAAGAAAATTCTGAAAGAAGCAATCATTAAAGTGGAAGCAATATTATAGAGGGTAAGTCGGCTATGCCCATAAAAAAATAAAATGTGAGGCAGGAAATAGTTAACACAATAGCCATGTTAGGACTAAATCACAGCCTCAGTGTACTGCTAATTGAAACTGGGGCATTAGATAAAAATACTAGGAAGGGGGTGCCTGGGTGGCTCAGTCATTAAGCGTCTGCCTTCGGCTCAGGTCATGGTCCCGGGGTCCTGGGATCGAGCCCCACCTCGGGCTCCCTGCTCAGTGGGAAGCCGGCTTCTCCCCCTCCCTCTGCCTACTTGTGCTGTCAAATAAATAAATAAAATCTTAAAAAAAAAAAATACTAGGAAGGCCTGAAAAAGCAAATACACAAAGGTCAGTCATTTTAACCATAAACTGGCAAAATGGCATTCTCCTTCAATTATTGAGAAACTGCTTCGTGTAATTAAAACAAAGATATTCAGTAGACTCTGGTTTAAAATTGTTTCCTGGGAAGAAAAACAAGGTAACGGGGAAGGTGGGTAAAGAGGACACATACTGTAAAGCACAGAGGGCCCTCCGATCACAGTTAACCACTTATATTCTGTGTTGATGAAAATGTGCCAAGAACTGGGCGCCTGGGTGGCTCAGTGAGTTAAGCGTCTGCCTTCGGCTCAGGTCATGATCCCGGGGTCCTGGGATCGAGCCCCTCATCGGGCTCCCTGCTCGGCCGGAAGCCTGCTTCTCCCTCTCCCACTCCCCCTGCTTGTGTTCCCTCTCTCGCTGTCTCTCTCTCTCTAATTAATATCTTAAAAAAAAAAAGAAAAAGAAAATGTGCCAAGAATTGAGGATGGTTAACTCAATCCCTACCTCAAGTCCAAAAACGAAAGAGATTTCACTATTTTAAAATCGAAGGGATGCAAAAAAAAATTTAAAAAATCAAATCAAAGGGATGCGGTGATCTTCAATATCAAAATTCAACCTATATGAAATGTCTGTAAAAACTATGGATTAAGAGTGTTCTAACATGAATTGTAATGACTTAATTTTTTTTTTTTTTTAAGTAGGCTCCAAACCCAGGAGGGAGCCGAAAACAAGGAGCCCAAACCCCAATGTGGGGAGCCCAATGCAGGGCTTGAACTCACAACCCTGAGATCAAGACCTGAGCTGAGATCAAGAGTCGGACATTTAACTGACTGAGCCACCCGGGCGCCCCTGTAATGACTTTTTTTTTTTGCAAGATTCCTTGGTCTCCTCTTTTCCTTAGCAGAACCTCTTTTTCTTTGTAATGAACGAAGGAAGTAAATAACCGAGGCAGTATTTATTATACTGCAATCTTCAGACATCCATATTCACCTTAATAAGATACTGTGTTAAACTTTTTACTGGAAATAACAAAGAATACCTGAACTGGAAGCCAACAGAAATGTTTATTAAAGGGACATTTACAAATTAAGGGACTACCTACCACACTATATTTTTTAAAAAATTTCATAAAATACCACAATTTCCATCATTTGTGATACTTTCTGCAAAGTATATAAGTAACATTTTCCATTATATATCAGTCTTTTATCAGATATGGTATAAGACAGCTCAATTTGTTTTTTTTTTTTGAGATTTTGTTTATTTATTTGAGAGAGAGAGTGGGCAGGAGGAGGGTCGGATGGAGAGGGACAAGCAGACTCCACACTGAGTGCAGAGTCTGACTCGGGGCTCAGTCCCACAACCCTGAGATCACGACCTGAGCTGAAATCAAGAGTCAGACGCTCAACTGACTGAGCCACCCAGGTGGCCCTATTGCTGCTTTTTTTTATAAACCACAGTCACTGAAGATGTTATAATAGTTCTCCCAAAAACTGCATGTATTTGCTTATACAATCTATTCAACAAAGAAATTTTAACAACATTCTATACTTAAAAAATATATATATATATAGATTACTGAGTACAAAAAGGGCTTTAGTAGCCAAAAATTTGTTATATATAACTATAAGAAACAAAACAACACAAAATCTTCTCATGTAGAAAGTTCTTTTGAATCTTTTCACATGCCTAGCCCACAGAGCTATAGACATAGGCTGGAGCAGAAATTCAAGATGTGCTGGTTGGATAAGTAAAGTATACAGAGTGTAAAACCTTAGTTGTTTGTTCACAGATGTGTTCACTGTCAAAACTTTTGGGGAAAACCAATGTCACATCAAAAGTAAACTTTTAATCTAGAAGTAAAAGCTGACTAGCTATTTTCAAGTGCAGAGCTAATGTAAATTCCAAGATAGGTTTATTTTTTTTTTAAAGATTTTATTTATTTATTTGACAGAGAGAGACAGTGAGAGCAGGATCACAAGCAGGGGGAGTGGGAGAGGGAGAAGCAGGCTTCCCGCTGAGCAGGGAGCCCGATGTGGGACTCGATCCCAGGACCCTGGGATCATGACCCGAGCCGAAGGCAGACGCTTAACGACTGAGCCACCCAGGCGCCCAAGATAGGTTTATTTTTAAGCTAGGAAAAAAACCCCTCATTTATTGTGTTAAAGGGGGAATCACACAAAACAAACACACATAGAGTCTGGCAGGGATGATGGAAACCTGGCATTGCACTGCTCCTGGCGAAGCAATATGGTGATCAGTCTGTGTGTGGGCCCACTTGCAAAACACTCGATAAATCAGGTATCCAAGGGGCCACCCCTGGTGCAATCTATCCAGGAACCGCTAGTTGTATTTCTTCTTCATTTTTCCATCATTCATTTCTTGTTCCCTTATTGACAAATGATATGAAACTGCCATTTATACATTTTTAAAAAATAGAGTCAGACTTTTCATACGTACCTGTAAATAAAAATGATCTAAATTAAGCTGCATTTACTTCATATATCCCTCCCTGGTAAAAAGTTCACCTTTTTCTTCTGCCCATCCTCTTGTGAAGGGAGTATATGATGGGAAAAGGAAGCAGCAGAAAGGATGCCTCCTTACGCAGCTTCATGAGGGTCATTCACACCTCAAAGTGTGAGTGAGAATGGTGCCCTCCTGGAATTAATAATGCACAATGTTTGAGGCTATGCAACATAGTCCTAGTCAGTCAGAACTGGTCATTTTTTGATGATTTTCCCTCCTTTACTGAAATTCTTGCTCAGGTGGATAATCCAGAATGTATTTGGCAACTGATATTAAATAATTCACTGGCATGACTATATTATGTTATACATGGAAATTAGACAAGATAAAAAGACTGAGTTACTACAGGGAAAAATTTAATCTTCAGATATTCATTTTTGAAATCAGCATCTCAGCAGAAGATGTCAAAACAAAATTATCAGAATTATAGAATCTTAGTGAGAAGGAACCTTAGCAATAATCAAAGGCTTTCTGGGGCACCTGAGTGGCTCAGTTGTTAAGCATCTGCCTTTGGCTCGGGTCATGATGCCAGGGTCCTGGGATCGAGCCCCGCATCAGGCTCTCTGCTCAGTGGGAAGCAGACTTCTCCCTCTCCCTCTCCCCCTGCTTGTGTTCCCTCTCTCGCTGTGTCTGTCAAATAAATAAAATCTTTAAAAAAAAAAAAAAAAGTCATTTGAAGTCTGGGACAGAGCACCTTAAAAATTTAAATTAGAAGAAACAAGTTTGGGATAGAATCAGAGGGCTTTATGTCGTGAGGGAATTCAGCATAGCCTCAAATTCCAACTTTGCTACATATAGGCTGGAGGTCTTGGAGTAAATGACAAACTCTGCAGGCCTCAGTTTCGACCTAAAGGGGTAATGTTATCTATTGCATAGAATGGCTGTGTGAATTAAGTGAGATAACACATTTTAAAGGATGTTAACAGATGTTCCATAAATGACAGCTATTGTCATGCTTACCATCTAGTCCAATTCCCTTTTTTTAAACAGAGAAACCTAGGGGCACCAGGGTTAGGCGGCTGCCTTTGGCTCAGGTCATGATCCCAGGGCCCCGGGATCGAGCCCCACATCTAGCCCCACGTCGGGCTCCCTGCTTGGCGGGAAGCCTGCTTCTCCCTCTCCCACTCGCCGGGCTTATGTTCCCTCTCTCGCTAATAAATAAAATCTTAAAAAAAAAAAAAACAAAAAAACAGAAACCTAGACCCAAAGAGATTGTCTTTGCCAATGGGAGTGAGATAATCCAGGTCTCTCAATTTCCAGCCCACCCCTATTCCATTACTTTACCCCCACCATACTCCAAAATTGATAAGACGCTGCATTTACAAGTTATCACCAGAATTACGAAACATAAAAGCGTCATCACTTAAATTTTTTAAATGGATTCTGTATTTGTTGTTTTGATGTAAAAAAAAAAAAATACCGTTTAAAAAAGTGTCTTTCCAGGGCGCCTGGGTGGCTCAGTTGGTTAAGCGACTGCCTTCGGCTCAGGTCATGATCTTGGAGTCCCGGGATCGAGTCCCGCATGGGGCTCCCTGCTCAGCAGGGAGTCTGCTTCTCCCTCTGACCCTCTTCCCTCTCGTGCTCTCATTCTCTCTCTCTCAAATAAATAAATCTTAAAAAAAAAAGTGTCTTTCCATCTCTTGAATTTACTGTACCTGCGTAAGGGAGAAAGGTTTTCACAATGGCTGTTACAATCTGCGGGCTGTAAAGTATTACTGAGGTCTACTCCCCTCCCCATATTGTGGTACCTACACTACAGCTGGCTATTACTCAAAGACAGATGCATTTGAAATCTCCAGAAAAAGAAACTGCATGCAATTAAGTTCCAGACACTGTGTTGGGGAACTGCAAGGGGAACACGTGACTTTTAACACAACTACTGTTCAACAATAACCCACAACCCTCGGACCAACTTAACACAATTACTGAAGGCAAGAGGCACTTCATGGAAAACAATTACAACACCACTTCCCTCTAAAAAGGAGTTTGGTGAGCTGGGACACCAAGAAACTGTCCAGGAAATGGGAGGGTGTCTGGGGTGGAGAGTGTCCATGACCAGTGCCGGGATCTTGGCACGTGAGGGGCGGGAAATGGGCCCCATGGGGTCAGGGATCCCAAAGACCGTTCAGGGCGTCCAGGAGTGGCGACGGTTCGGGGTGCCGGGGAGAACGCCGTCAGGTCCTACGCACCTGGGAGTGAGGCCCGCAGGACGGCCGCCTCGCCAAGGCCAGGGACCAGAGCGTGGCGGCGGGGCGGCCACCCTGTTCCCCCCGCCGTCACCCGTCAGCCGCCGCTGCTCACCTGCCGCGAGGTCACCTCCCCTGCGCGTCCTCTCAGCTCCGCCTCGTCTCCGCCCGCGGGACAGAGCGGCCCACCGCGCCCAGCAGGCTCAGCGCCTCAGCGGCCCCTAGAGACCGGAGGCTGAAAACGCCGGGGCGCGTGCACTGCGGGACCCAGGCCGACGCTGCTCCTCGACCTCCCAGGCCCGGGCGCCGCCCACGGACTCACCTGCTGGAGTTTGCAAGGGGCGTTTTTAGTTTCTTCCTTTTTTACCTTTAGTTTTCAGCCTCCCAGGGTTCTAGTTTCGTGTGTCTGCGTTTTGTAGAAATAAAAGAAGACATCTAGAAATATATATTTATTTAATGGAAGGGGTAAGCATTCTGAGTTGGGAAAGAAGGCTGGGATCTGGTATCCTCCTGCCCGGATTTTAGAGGCACAGTCATTCAAATGTACAGTTAATACTCTGTCATTCTATTAGTGTCTTGACACTCCAAGATGCAAGGTGTGTGTAGCTATCGTTGTGATAAGAATAGATACGGTTACTGGTTTTTACATACTTTACTGATGTTAAAGTTTGTTGGTATACCAGTTGCATTAAAACAAAATGGGGTGGGGGCGCCTGGGTGGCTCAGTTGGTTGGGCGACTGCCCTCGGCCCCGGTCATGATCCTGGAGTCTCGGGATCGAGTCCCGCATCGGGCTCCCTGCTCAACGGAGAGTCCGTCTCCCTCTGACCCTCCCCCGTCTCATGCTCTCATTCTCTCTCTCAAATAAATTAATGAAATCTTTAAAAACAAACAAACAAACGAAAAACCCACAATGGGGTGCCTGGGTGGTTCAGTTGGTTAAGGGTCTGATTCTTGATCTCAGCCCAGGTCTTGACCTCAGCGTCCTAGTTCAAGCCCCATTGTTGGGCTCCACACTGGGCCTGGAACCTACCTTAAAAAATAATAATAATTTAAAAAAATAATAAATGAAAGAGAATGCAGGTGCCCAGATTTGGGCAGGAATTTGTGTAAAGTTTGGACAACTGAACTTTTTTTTTTTTTTTTTTTGGTTTTGAACCGTTAATGAGAAAGAAATATATTGAGCTCAAGAACACTGTGTTTCGTGTGTCACCGGGTCCAGGTTTGGGGATACACGACAGACCTAGCAAACAGGATATACATCAACAAAAACATTCCTGGTTACAGACTGAAAAACTAGTGCCTGGCACGATTAAGCCTCAGTTTCCTCATCACTCAGCAGCATGTTGGGAATCCCGTGACTGATGGAAAACAGACGTCCAGACTCTGGGCACTACAAGGTGCCCTCCAGCACATCCACTTCCAGCAGCACGTGGTGCATCTGCCTCAGGAATTTCTCATCATGCTCATACCCTTCAATTGGCCCTTTGGGCACCTCGACCAGATGCAAGGTATCCGCCGCCTCCAGAAGGGCCGCCCACTCCACCTTGGGCATCCTACCCGCCACGAAGTCGGGGTTGAACTCCACCGGGTTGATGCGGACCTGAGTGGCCTGGAGGCGCAGTGGGAAGCCACGGGGCCCCACCCCGCCGCACATGCGAGCTCAGCAGGTTGTGAGTGAGCAGCTTCATGTCGCCTCAATGCGCTCTCAGCAAGCCTGGGCAAATGAATTTTTAATTTAAAACTTGTTCATTCAAGCCGAATTAACTTTATATTTGACTTGAAGTTTAATTTCTAAAAGTTCATCAGCATCTGGTATTTACGAGATAATCTTTCTGACAAAATAAGTTAAAATTTAACTAAAAAGCTATTTGTGACATGAAAAGGTGCTCATTATCACTAATCATTGGGGAAATGCAAATCAAAATCACAATGAGATCACCTCACACCTGTTAGAATGGCTATCATGAAAAAAGAAAAGAGATAAGTGTTGACAAGGATGTGGACAAAAGGGAATGCTTGTGCACTGTTTGTGGGACTGTAAATTGGGGCAGCCACTATGGAAAACAGTATGGAGGTTCCTCAAAAAACTAAAAATAGAAATACATATGATCCAGCAATTCCACTTCTGGATATATATCCAAAGTAAATGAAATTACTATCTCAAAAAGATATCTGCACCCCATAATGTTCATTTGCTGCATTTTTACAATAGCCAAAACATGGAAACAACAACCTAAGTGTCTGTCAGTGGGTGAATGGATAAAGAATATGTGGTATATATGTACAATAAAATATTATTCAGCCCTGAGAAAGAAGGACATCTTGCTGTTTGTGACAACATGGATGGATCTTGAGGACATTATGCTAAGTGCACTAAAGTCAGACAGAGAAAGATAAATACTGTATATCAAGTATATGCAGAATCTAAAAGAGATAGATGTGTAGAAATAGAGACTAGAATGCTGGTTACCAGGGATTGAGGGCATAGGAGAAATGTGGAGATATTGGTCAAAGATTACAAACTTCCAGTTAGAAGGTGAATAATTTCTGAAGATCTAAAGCACAGCATAGTGATTACCGTTAATAATACTGTATTTTATACCTGTAAGTAGCTAAAAGAGTAGATCTTAAATATTCTCACCAAAAAAAAAAAAAAACAACCAAACAAACTAGTTGATGCTATGGTGGTTATCAGTTTGCAATTTATGTATGTGTTAAATCAAGACATTGTACATCTCAAACTTGCACAATGTTATATGTCATTTATATCTCAATAAAGCTGGGATGGAGGGGAAGTTGCCCACAAAATCATTCAAAGGACCTACATACTAAACACAATACCAAACTTCCAGATGATGTTCCAAACTCTCTCAAAGAAAAGAAAAAGCTATTTGTGCAGTAGCCACAGAACAACTGAGGGTTACAAAATGTTCCTGTGCTGCATTATCAACATACCCGTATTTTCTCCTTGTCCCTTAGGGTTCTCCTCCCTAATCAGTAAAACGCCAAGTATCACTACGGAAACAAAAGTACCTTTACTGTCAGGATCAATCCAAAGTGATCTGGTAAAAGAAAATGAAACTTAAGAATGTAAAAAAAAAAAACAAAACAAAACAGGCGCCTGGGTGGCTCAGTCGTTAAGCGTCTGCCTTCGGCTCAGGTCATGGTCCCAGGGTCCTGGAATCGAGCCCCGCATCGGGCTCCCTGCTCGGCCGGAAGCCTGCTTCTCCCTCTCCCACTCCCCCTGCTTGTGTTCCCTCTCTCGCTGTGTCTCTGTCAAATAAATAAAATCTTTAAAAAAAAAAAGAATGTAAAAAAAAAGAGCATAAACTGTAGGTAAAGACAGAAGAGAAAAGCCTAAAGGCCCTGACAATGTCATGAATATGAAAACAATGCAAGTGATGTGAATAAACAAAAGTTTTTTCTATTTTATCATGCTTTTAAGAAATTACTTTGAAGAATGAGGCCAGTCTGCAATCAGCTTTTATAATCATTTTAAACAGAACCATCAATACTTAATAATATTTAACAGGAGATTTGGTATTTGCTAGGATTAGAGATTTTATATTTGATGGGATTAGCTGCATAAAACAAAAGTTTATCTGTGTGACACCGCACTCAAATTTTCAAAATATATCTACTTTCATCCGGAGTTCATTAAGTGTGTCAGGGACAATACCGGTGGTCTGAGAGCCTTCTCAAGGGGATCTCTGATGTGCTGGTTCTTTTCTTTTCAGGCGTGAATTAATAGTTGACTTATAATATTTAATAAAAAACATACATTAATTTATTTGTGTTTTATCAAAAGCAAGGGTTGTTTTGTTGTTGTTGCTGTTGTTTTTATAAAATAAATGCTGGCTTCTTTTCCCTAGCATTAAGCCAAGCCAAAGGTAGGTGATATAATTAATGTGGGCCATGGGGATAACTGACTCCATTGAATGAATTATTAGCTGAGAAACTGGAAAAAAATTAAGCATGTGTGGTATAATACAAAAACAATCCCAATTCTCTACTCCTCTATACCCTCCTCCTCACGCTTGTGTCCATGCCCACTCTGATTCTGGGATCAGCCTTGTGGTTTATTTTGGTTAATATGATATTAACAAGTATGACACAAGCAGAGGCTAAAAAGGTGCTTGAACTGGTGAATATGTCCCAACTAGCCCACTGGAGATGAAAAACACATAGAGCCAAATCAAGTCATCCTCAACATTCCAACCGAGGCCATCCTAGGCTGGCCATCGGTCAGCTGGCCCCCACACATGTGAGCAAGCCCAGCCAAGATCAGCAAAGCTACCTACCAAGATCAGACAAGCCTGCACAGCTCAGCTGAGCTTAAATAGGTGTGTTCGTTGTTGTGCAGCTTTATTGTGGCAATAGATAATTGACACAATGTCCTCCATTGCAAATTCTCTGAAATCAAAGAGCATTTGATTTGCTTGGTAGCTTGAGGAGTAATCCGCTTCCAGTGGGAACTGTAAGAAGAACAAATGTTTGCTATTTGTAAAAACTATATTGTGGTCTAGCATCATAGGAATTTCTGCTATGGGAAGGAAATGAAATCTATCAAATGGTAGGAAACATAAATGAGTTAAAAAAATTGAGAATGGGGAACTGATATTATTCCTTCCATATAATATTTTTAGCAAAACTGATTTTGATACTTTCCATGTCAGGTCATCTTATACTTATTTTTATCACATTTCCAATACTAGAAAAAATAATAAAAAATAATAGTCAATATTAATTTTTTTAAAATCTCATAATCTCAAAGCACCTTAAAAAATAAAAATTAAAAACATTTTTATTCCAATTTTTTTTAATTGAGTGAAGGAAGCATCTCAATATAATGTGATAAGTGATAACATAATGATGTGCACACGTTTCTTTGGAAGCACAGAGAATGGTATGTAGCTTGGCCTGGAAGCTGATGACTGAGCTGAGAGAGTCAGAAGCATTAACTACGGCAAGGAAGTTAGAAAGGATGTTTCAGGGCAGGGAAAACAGAATGAACACAGTCTTTGTAGCATGAAACCATACAATGTGATGGGATGTGTTACGTATTCACCAGAGAGTGAATAATAAAATGGAAAATGGGAAGAAATGAGATTGGAAAAACAGATAGGGGCCAGTCCAGGAGGGCTCACATTCATGGTAA